TTCCAGACACGTTTATATGTCACGTTACTGTGATTTGTGTGTGTAAATACTTCAATTGTTAATGTAGTGCAGTGAACTTGCTAAGTTTGTATACTAATATGCTCATGGTATTACTTTCTGCCATGGCTTGTGATTATTCATACCACATGTTGCACCCATCCCCTGGGCCACGAGAGAGGAACGACGGCCTCGCTTCTTGCATGGTCGGGGTTCGATTCCCGATGGTCCAAGTGGTAGGCTACTGGTCCTCCACTTCCTCCTCATACACCAGTTCATAATCCTCGCATCTCTTTCAGTTGTTATATCGATATATTAGCCAAGAACTCCGTGACAACTGTCTTACCATCCATCATGTCTTACCATGATATCTGCAGTCCGTCCTCCTAATAGAACGTCGCATTTTGACGTTTTCTACCTAAGGCCACAAATTGTCGTACTAAAAAATAGAAGTAGGAGCTTGAGAAATTGACGTTCTGTTCCGTTTTCTATTTTGGGTCCTCTAGTAGGTTAGGATAAGGCCACATTAGTACGACAGTTTCTTGAAATTGGGAAACCTTATGAGGACAGGTTGGCGCTCTTTCAAAACACCTTCCAACTCTCTAAACTTTTGTTATCTAGAAGATTCCAAGATTAAAATGTCTAGTCAAATAGACTATCACGATATTGAAAGGAATTGAATTAGTTGTATCCACTTTACAGCCTTATATTCATCTGTTTAAACTAAATATGATAAACGTACGGTATTCACTGACGGAAGCTTAAGAAATTGCAAAGGACTTACATAATTAGTCTTAGATTATATTACCAACTTCGGTACTGGTGTCCCAAGTTCTCAGGTCTTAACTTACGAAGGTTTTGTCTGCTAAATACTGAAACAAACTCCTGATATATTACCATTGATCACGACCATTAAAACCCGTAACCATAACCACCACCAGTCACAAAACTAGCGATTGATGGCCTGATGTCCTGGATAATGTTTCATAAAAGCAAATAATGGACATTAACAGGTAACACGCGATGCAATATTCAAGAGAATTAGACTTTAATCTCGTCAGGTCAGCGAGTTAATTCCATGAATTCCAACCTGATGACAGACTCATTTCAGACAGCCACACAATAGACCACAAACTGTGTCATTTGCGAGTCCAACGGAGAACCTTTTCCTTTCCAATTCTGTTTCCATAACATGGGATAATTTCTGACTTTTGCTCCGGTAATTACAAAGTGACCCACTGAGTTACGATTCGCTTAATGAACACGAATTCTACTATTTCCACGAAAGAAAGCTTTTAATGTGTTACAAATTACGGTGTTTACAGTTGTCACGTTAGTATTGAGTATCCCCTGGGGTGTACTGGCGTCTCCTCCATGGGTACAGTGTATCGGAGAGCGCTCGATTGCATTGGTATGGTTTCTGGTGTACTGGAGTTTACTTGAGAGTACTAGAGTGCTGGATGGCATTTACAGTGTACTCGAGTGTCCTGAAGTGTATTAGTGTTGTCTGGAGAACACTGTAGTATTCACAAGTTAAATGGAGGAGTATACTGGCGAGTCCACGAGAGTACTGGAGTACACTAGATATTCTTGAGGTGTACTGGAGTGCCTAAGAACATACCTAGGGGTGACCGAAAGTGCACTGGAGGGACCTGAAGTGTAAAGAAGTGTCGTTAAATATACTAAAGTCCCCTACGTCAGTGGTCTCGAATAGACTGACGTTTGGAGTAAATCTGTGTGTGCTGGGGGTGTCCTAGTGTGCGTTGGAGTGTACAGGACTGTACTGGAGTGTCCTGGGTGTGAATCCAAGTGTACTGGAGTGTGACAGTGGTAGGAGACGGTCGGCTTCTGGAAGCGACGAGCCAAGATGACAGGAGTCAGGAGACATGCCATGATAACCACCTTGGCGTGTGTGTGTGTGTGTGTGTGTGTGTGTGTGTGTGTGTGTGTGTGTGTGTGTGTGTGTGTGTGTGTGTGTGTGTGTGCGCGCGTGCGTGCGTGTGTGTGTGGGGGGAGGGTGTACTCACCTTGCCTCTTTGGTCCCGCCTCTCAACTGTCAATCAACTGGTGTACAGATTCCTGAGCCTACTAGGCTCTGTCATATCTACATTTGAAACTATGTATGGAGTCAGCCTCCACCACATCACTTCCTAATGCATTCCATTTGTCAACCACTCTGACACTAAAAAAGTTCTTTCTAATATCCCTGTGGCTCATTCGGTCACTCAGTTTCCACCTGTGTCCCCTAGTGCGTGTGCCCCTTGTGTTAAATAGCCTATCTTTATCTACCCTATTAATTCCCTTCAAAATCTTGAATGTGGTGATCATGTCCCCCCTAACTTTTCTGTCTTCCAGCGAAGTGAGGTTTAATTCCCATAGTCTCTCTTCGTAGCTCATACCTCTCAGCTCGTGTACTAGTCTGGTGGCAAACCTTTGAACCTTTTCCAGTTTAGCCATATCCTTGACTAGATATGGACTCCATGCTGGGGCTGCATACACCAGGACTGGCCTGACATATGTGGTATACAAAGTTCTGAATGATTCTTTACACAAGTTTCTGAATGCCGTTCAAATGTTGGCCAGCCTGCCATATGCCGCTGATTTTATCCTCTTGAAATGGGCTGTAGGAGACAGGTCTGGCGTGATATCAACCCCCAAGTCTTTTTCATTCTCTGACTCCGGAAGAATTTCCTCTCCCAGATGATACCTTGTATCTGGCCTCCTGCTCCCTACACCTATCTTCATTACATTACATTTGGTTGGGCTAAACTCTAACAACCATTTGTTCGACCATTCCTTCAGCTTGTCTAGGTCTTCTTGAAGCCTCAAACAGTCCTCTTCTGTCTTAATCCTCCTCATAATTTTGGCATCGTCCGCAAACATTGAGAGAAACGAATCTATACCCTCCGGGAGATCATTTACATATATCAGAAACAAGATAGGACCGAGTACAGAGCCCTGTGGGACTCCACTGGTATCTTTACGCCAATCGGAGGTCTCACCCCTCACCGTAACTTTTAGCTTCCTATTGCTTAGGTACTCCCTTATCCATTGGAGCACCTTACCAGCTACACCTGCCTGTCTTTCCAGCTTATGTACCAGCCTCTTTTGCGGTAATGTGTCAAAGGCTTTCCGACAATCCAAGAAAATGTATTCTGCCCTGCCCTCTCTTTCTTGTTTAATCTTTGTCACCTGGTCGTAGAATTCTATTAAACCAGTCAGGCAAGATTTACCCTCCCTGAACCTATGTTGGCGATTTTTCACGAAGTCCCATCTCTCAAGATGTGATACCAGTTTTTTTCTCACGATCTTCTCCATCACCTTGCATGGTATACAAGTCAAGGACACTGGCCTGTAGTTCAGTGCCTCTTCTCTGTCGTCCTTTTTGTATATTGGGACCGCATTAGCTGTCTTCCACATTTCTGGTAGGTCTCCCGTCTCCAGTGACCTACTATACACTATGGAGAGTGGCAAGCAAAGTGCCTCTGCACACTCTTTCAGAACCCATGGCGAGATTCCGTCTGGACCAACAGCCTTTCTAACATCCAGATCCAGCAGGTATCTCTTGACCTCCTCTCTCGTAATTTCGAACCCTTCCAAGGCCGCCTGATTTACTTCCCTTTCTCCTAGCACAGTGACCTCACCTTATTCTGTTGTGAAGACCTCCTGGAACCTCTTGTTCAGTTCTTCACACACCTCTTTGTCATTCTCTGTATACCTGTTCTCGCCTGTTCTAAGTTTCACTACCTGTTCTTTCACTGTTGTTTTCCTTCTGATGTGACTGTGGAGTAGCTTTGGTTCGGTCTTGGCTTTGTTTGCTTTATCATTTTCATAACTTTTCTCTGCTTCTCTTCTCACCCTGACGTACTCATTCCTGGTTCTCTGGTATCTCTCTCTGCTTTCTGGTGTTCTGTTATTCCGGAAGTTCCTCTACGCCCTTTTGTTCAGTTTCTTTGCTTCCATACATGCCCTATTATACCATGGATTCTTCTTTTGCTTCTCGGATTTTTTCTTTTTGGCCGGGATGTATCTGCTTATTGCCTCCTGACACTTTTGGGTGACATAGTCCCTCATATCTTGTACAGACTTAACTCTGAGGTCTGTGTCCCAAGGTATTTCCCTTAGGAATCTTCTCATCTCCTCATAACTTCCTTTTCGGTAAGCCAGCCTTTTGTTTCCTAGTTCTTTTTGGGGGAAGATAATTCCTAACTCTACCAGGTACTCAAAGTTAAATACACTGTGATCACTCATTCCCACTGATGTGTGTGTGTGTGTGTACACGCGCGCACGCGTGTGATGGGTTATGTGACTGGTTGCACCCCCCCCCCCCCGCCTCATTCATGATGCCAAACGCAGCCATTTTCTTTCCCACGGACACTTGTAGCACCTAAGCTAACCCTTTCAGCTACGTCGCCAAGTCTCCCAGCAACCTCGTCAACCATTCCAGCAACCTCGTCAACCATTCCAGCAACCTCGCCAACCATTCCAGCAACCTCGTTAACCATTCCAGCACCTCGTCAACCATTCCGGCATTCGTGTTAATCTGTTCCAGAACTCGTGCCGGTGCTTTCAGCCCTTTGACCAGTCCTTCGAACAGTACTTCGAACATCCCCTGAAGGCTTGACAGCTGAGTGGATAGCGCTTCGGATTCTTAGTCCTGAGGTTATGGGTTCGGTTCGGTGGAGGCGGAAATAAATCTACAGAGTTTCTTTCACCCTAATGCCCCTGTTGCCTAGCAGTAAATAGGTACCTGGGAGTTAGACAGCTTCTCAAGTTAACCCCAATTAATATATTTAAGCACCCGTGCCATTGCTTTCGAAACCCCCAGCAAGGCTTCAGGAACAGTTGGTGAGGGTTCCAGTAACCCTGCCAACCCTTCCAGCCCCTTTTACCATTCAGCGTCTTTATCAAACATTCCAGCACCCAATTAAACACTTCTGGCAACACTACAAACTTCTTCTAAAACCCACCAATCGCTAAAACACTCTTATCACCACTTCCAGCATTCCCGCCAGCCCTTATAGCACCCTCGCTAACCCTTCCAGAACCCTCGCTGACCCTTCCAGCACCCTCGCTGACCCTTCCAGCACCCTCGCTGACCCTTCCAGCACCCTCGCTGACCCTTCCAGCACCCTCGCTGACCCTTCCAGCACCCTCGCTGACCCTTCCAGCACCCTCGCTGACCCTTCCAGCACCCTCGCTAACCCTTCCAGCACCCTCGCTAACCCTTCCAGCACCCTCGCTAACCCTTCCAGCACCCTCGCTAACCCTTCCAGCACCCTCGCTAACCCTTCCAGCACCCTCGCTAACCCTTCCAGCATTCCCGCTAGCCCTTCCAGCACCCTCGCTAGCCCTTCCAGCATTCCCGCTAGCCCTTCCAGCACCGCCACTAACCCTTCCAGCATCCCTTCTATTAACCCTTCCAGCAACCCCCCACCAACCCTTCCAGCAGCTCGGCCGACACTTCCTTTGACTCTCAGTGATCTCTTGCCCGGGTTAACGGCTGGCTCCGAGTCCTTAGCGGGGTTTATGGCCTCGCGCCAGACAAAATGAGCAACTCTGCTCCATTCAGAGAGGCTAAAGACACTGCGGTAGTTCGGTATCGCCAGGACGTGCCAATATTACTGATGTTTACCCTCGCCTATTGCTAGTAGCTGAGCGGTGTCCCGGGTGGACTTTAACACCACCGTTTGCTCTGTTGAACTTTTTTTCAGCATAGAGTAAAAGTAGACATAGGGAGTGTGTTCAGGGACGTTGTGAGGGACCGGAACTTCGTCTGTCTTAAGAATGCACGTCGTGAAGTCGACGGAGGCAACAGAGTGCACATGCAACTATGCACGATTGTAAGTCTTTTTAGTTCAGGACTAAGATCTGTCCTGTTGGCTATCATTAGATAGTCCAAGGGACGAGGAGTTCAGTGGTATTTCAATGGTCATTGCACACTTATACTATGAGTTGTCAGGAAAAGATTATTCAAGTCATCATTAGAATCCATTTTTCTGTTGTTTAGGAGTAGTAGACGAGTTAGAGACAAATTTCTGGGTGCGGCGGGCGAAGGGTCATTTAACGCGTCAATGTGAAGTCATTGCAAATCACCCAACTGTCTCGACACTTTTCCATCATCTCTAGCCGACATGCATGACAGTATGATGGGTTTAGGCATCTTAGCTCGTTCGCCATTGGTTCAGGCATGAGCAAGGGTTTAGACAAAGGACCCACGCTCCCCCATTCAACTTCACGTACATGGGTACGCCATCCCAATGCAAGCTGAACTAACCGCCGGTTACGTCTCAGTAGGGCGTATTCTGAAGGTAACTTGCCCAACTTGGTGATCACTCCAGGAACTCTGTTGTACTTTATTTGCGTCTTCACACTCAAGTTGACCGTCTTGCGCCCGCCAGAATCACATAGCATGCTTAATATTTCATGCAAAGTTTGTGGAAATGACAAACTTAATGTGTAGAGGCTGATTGTATGTAGATACATAAGTGATTGTACCAGGAGTAACCGAGTATCAAATGTGATCGGTGTAATCCTTAACCAGTGAAAGAATTAAAAGTTGTCTTAGTGACATAATAAATATTCAGATCGTCACCGTTTGTATATGGAAGACGATTTATAGTAATCTTGACTAGCTGCCGATTGTGCATTAATGCTGTTGTATAAGATTCAGCTATTCTGAATAAAAAAAAATCCAAGTAGCACGGGCTATGGTGAGCCCGTAGTGGACTTACTTGGCACAGAAGCGTGGCTGTATGTGTCAGTTCTCTGAGTGCTTGAGGTGACCACGACTCGTACTCTCAGCTACTATGATGTTACTCTCCGCTGTGTCAGCGGGTTCCGCTAGGTATCGTCCAGCTGTAACTGGTATGACTGGGATGGAATGAACGAAGATAGGCCATAAATAGAGCAAGTTTGTTCTCGGTATGATATATTACGGGCTATTCATGCCCATGCCACCTCTTGGGTGGCTTAATGAATCAATATGATATAGTGTGTTTCCTTGTGTTGATCTGAGTGATCGACCACCCAATCAGTTATGTATCCCTGCTCATCTGTCACAGGAGGGAACTAGTAGAACGATCCACACAATTGCCTGATCGCCAGTCTGTGTGGTGACGTTCAGACACTTGTTAAGTTGTAAGAGGATTAACCTAAGCCCTCACACACTTAGGGTTTCTGTGATACGCTTCATTACTCGTCCTTGTTTGTCTCGGTATCTCTGGTAGTTTCAGTGACTGATGGAGTCTCAGTGACACATAGTCTAGTATTGATTATTCTCGTCTCAATGACCTGTATATAATTCCATGATATATTGTTATCCCAGTGACTCTTTCTAGAGTTATTAATGTTTTCATAACGTGCAATCTCTCTGTGATTCTTAGTGTCTGTGTGACTCGTTCTATTAAACATTGAGAGATTCCTACCGCGCGTAACCTTAAGTGACATTGATTGCACACGTGTATTTCACGTGTTGATTATTGATATATATGCTGGTGTCGTGTATTGTTATTTTGTTATTGCTGCTATCAAAGTGTTCACGAGTGTTCAGTCAGTTCACTTTGTGCCCAAGCAAGAGGGCGGGACTCGATGTCTCAACACACCAGCACCTTAAGGAACGAGCCTTGCTGCCCGAATGCTTTTGTATAGCATATACAAAAGTGACACAATTAATTAACATTAGGAAAGCTTCCTGTGTACTGGAAGTAAGTTTACTGAAACACACACAACTATTTTTGTGATGAGTGACTCTCCGTCCATCCTTCCATCAGTACTGCTCCATCATTTATTCACTTATATAATGGGGTACAGGCTCCAGGGATCGATTCCCTTGAGCCTAAACAGTAAATTAAAAGCAAATAGTTGAGAGCCCCCTGGTGTCTTTAGCTCGTCCACCTGCTCCAGCAAAGCTACGACCTAGCACAGCCCGTCCTCGCATACAGAGATCCTAGCTCGTTAATCCAGCCGCCAAACCCCCTGTTTATGAATGAAAAGCGGTTTACACACGACTCACAACTGATGTTTCGGAACTGTTCAGATGTCAAGTGCTCGCTCACGTCTCCTCTATTCGAACGACAATTTTATAAATGTTTAACCAACGTACTTCAAAAACAAAAAATCGTCAGCACAACCTGAACACCTAATCTAACCTACACCTAACATTACATAGAATTTTTATGTTTAATATTAATTTATGAGAACAAGATAACTTTTAGTACACAATATGTTAGAAGTGATGAATCCGTCAGAGGACGGCCGCTGCTTTAACCTGCCTAGTGTGAGAACGGGTTGTATGGGGAGGACGGCCGCTGCTTTAACCTGCCTAGTGTGAGGACGGGTTGCCCAGTGACGGTACTTAATTTAGTGATCGTTGTGGAAATATCGTGTGATAGCGCGCACTCGCTCTGAGATACTGTCGCATACTTTAATTTCCACTACTGACAGCCATCATTGTGACCACCATTGGAACTGGTATTGTTACAAGGAGCTGCAGTAGTGGCACATTGTTGAAGCACCTCACAGACACATCTAAGTGTATGTCGAAGTATATGTTAGGATGCATATATATAATTAATTATGAAATTGCAAAGTAAAAGGGCAAGCAATCATCAAAGTGTCAGCCCACAAGCAAATCAGGTCAGAGTTCGACCAAGTTACGTCATACGACGACTCTCATTGTTTAAGAGTTGCTACTTGCTCATTGCTCTCTCTCTGTCTCTCTCTCTCTCGTTCTCTCAGGTTACATACATATAAACGAGAATTTTATATCGAGGACTGCCGAACAAAGGCAATACTCATGAGAAAATTGACTTACTATCTGTAATAGCCGTAAAATCTGGCAGAAGAAGCAGCAGCATGCTTATAAACTCTCATTGTACTCTCACGTCGTGGTTCACGGGTTGTTCCGGCCGCCAGGAGCCACAAACCTCCGGTAATCTACACACTTGCTCAGAGCAATGGCTGCAATAAGGAATGCATTAAACTGGCACTTAGGCGGTAAATCTGCTGGCCACAGACAGTAAACACGTTTTATTGCACCTTTATTACTCTCCAGAGCTTCTAATGTGAGTAATGGTTGAGACATTAAAGATCTGTCTCAAAACGTTTACGTAAAGGTTATTGTTTGGTTGAGCTGTACACCTTTTCAGATAAGTTGATGGTGGCAACGATCTGTTTGTTACCAGGACACACGTAAGTTGCTTCATAACGAGTCTAGGCAACGGTAGTATCAATGAGAGCATCAACGAGGCTGGGTAAGGGGTAACGCGGTGAGTATAGAGCAGGATTCTCAAGCATGGTGGGATATTTTGGGAGGTTTGTTGGTGCTGCGTCGCGCCAGTGTTGAAGCTGCCCGCCTGTGTGTGTGTATGTATGCTCCAGTAGTGATACTTTATTCGTTAGTCTCTCTGCGTCTCTGTCTCTGCGTCTTTGTCTCTGCGTCTCTCTCTCTCTGCGTCTCTCTCTCTCTGCGTCTCTCTCTCTCTCTCTGCGTCTCTCTCTCTCTCTCTGCGTCTCTCTCTCTCTCTCTGCGTCTCTCTCTCTCTCTCTGCGTCTCTCTCTCTCTCTCTGCTCTCTCTCTCTCTCTCTGCGTCTCTCTCTCTCTCTGCGTCTCTCTCTCTCTCTGCGTCTCTCTCTCTCTCTGCGTCTCTCTCTCTCTCTCTGCTCTCTCTCTCTCTCTCTCTCTCTCTGCGTCTCTCTCTCTCTCTCTGCGTCTCTCTCTCTCTCTCTGCGTCTCTCTCTCTCTCTCTCTGCGTCTCTCTCTCTCTCTCTCTGCGTCTCTCTCTCTCTCTCTCTCTGCGTCTCTCTCTCTCTCTGCGTCTCTCTCTCTGCGTCTCTCTCTCTCTCTGCGTCTCTCTCTCTCTCTCTCTCTCTCTCTCTCTCTCTCTCTCTCTCTCTCTCTCTCTCTCTCTCTCTCTCTCTCTCTCTCTCTCTCTCTCTCTCTCTCTCTCTCTCTCTTTCTCTGTCCCTCTCTCTCTCTCTCTCTCCCTCCATCACATTCCACAGAGCTTGCTAAAAATTATAGCCAAAGTTGAACTTGGAAATCGAAAACAAAGTTGGAAATTCATTGCAGACTGTTCCAGCCGCTCGCAGCAAATTGATAATAAAAACTTGTAATGGCTATCTCAGAACACCGTGGTAAGTCACGGTAGTTGGCGCTGTTTATAACGTACAGCTCAGCCAATTTTCCTTTATATATATATAATACATATGAGAAGATACATTTGTATTCGGACGGACAGAAGGTCTTCAGGCGTTCAGAAGATGAGGATGTAGATGGATAGGAGGATGGTACACCCTCTGTCCTCTTTCATGACACAGTTGTGCTTATTCAGGCCAACCAAGAGGCTGCTTGCTGGGGATATGGCATCTGCGCTGGATTTTTTTTATGTGAAAGCAATTCCATCTTTCAAGACATTGAATCAAAACGCATATTGCCGGGAAATCTCGGAGAGACCAACGGAGGAACTTCAAAATTCCTGTTTTACCCTTTCATTGGAGCTGAGAAAAATAATTAATAATAATAATAATAATAAGTTTGTCATACGATGGAT